TCTCGATGGTGGCCCTGGTCTGGTAGGTCCCGTCTCCGCTGGGAAGAACCCCCAAGTGGCTCATCTCCTGGGGCTGCGTCTCCCCGTCCTTCAGCCACACGACAGCCACGTCCCAGGGATAGAAGCCGTGGACCCGGCAGGACAGGGTGGCAAATCCATCTTGGGACAATGACCTGTCGCTCACCTGTGCCACGGGACGCCCTGGGCGGGAGGAGACACCTGTTAGAGCGACCGCCTCATCCGGGCCGTCAGCACCCCTGGCCCTGCACCGGGCCACACAAACCGGCTCCAGCGCCCATTTCCGGCAGGAGCCGACAGCGTCGGGGCGGGAGCACGGGGGACGGGGACACGGCTGCGCTGGGCTCGGGGCTGCAGGAACGGGGCCCCGTACAGCCGATCTCTGGTTCTCAGACACGTGGCCGGGGCACGGACACCCCGTGGGCTCTGCCCAGTGGGGAGGCCTAAGCAGGGCAGGGACAGGGGCACCGGGTCCCGCAGCAGCGCTGGGGTCTTGTCCAGCGGCAGGACCGAGATGCAGCGCTCGCCACCCCGGGCACAGGGGCTGGGGGTGGGTCTTACTTGTGGAGAAATCACCCCGTTTGCCTCAATGCCTTAAGGGAGCAGCCCACCCCCCTTCCTGTGTTACCATGGTGCCTGTATGACAAGCTGGGCTGTAACAATTCCAAAGGGATGGGGAACCTGCTCCTTTTGTCTCAGGTTCCTGCCCTTGTTGGTCATGTAGCTAGTCCTCTCACCTGATCAGTCTGATGTCATTTGGAAACACGGGTCAGCAGCCAATGGGTCTGCTTCTGATGGGAACTAAGTGATGAGGTCACAACTGATGTATAAAATAGCCCCTCTATGAGGAAGTGGCAAACGGATTTGGGAACATAAAGGAAGCACACAGCCTCTGGAGCTCTTTCCGTCTCCAGATGAACATGTCTGTAACTTACTTGAAATTTAGCCAGCAACAATGCTCTAGAAGCATATCAAGAGGCTTTGCTGAGCCACTTCTCTTTGCTCAGGGTCATTCCTTTGCTACTTCTGACTTGTACCTCTCCCCATGTCTACCTTCTCTAGCTATTAAAACTATGTTACAGCCAACCTGTGTACATGCACAAGAGGGATTGGGCAGGCCTTCTTGCTCCGTTTACTCGGCTGACTATGGAAGGCTACTTTCTCTGTTTCAGGTTGTAGGAATATCCTGCTAGGGCTAAGCAACCCCTTGGTCTACAGGATCCGTGTATCCCGGGAGGCACAGGGCCCAGACAAGGATCTGAGTCTGGGTGGTGGCAGTGGTACCCCAGGCTTTCAGGTGTGCTCCAGGAAGGGGGTCAGCCAGGTGGAGGCACCCCAAGGGAGGCACTTGAGACTTGGTTTTGGGCTGGGCACAGTGACGCAGGTGGCTCAGCATAGAAGCGCACCCTAGACCAAGACACAATGCTCGCCACCCCAGACACAGGGGACAGGGCAGGTGTTACCCAGGGGAGGGTTTGCCCTGGTCAGTGCTGCCCTGGGCGGTGACACCGGGACTCACTGCTCTGCAGTATTGCCTCCCTGTGCTGGAGGTACTGCCGCAGCCACTCGATACAGGTCCCCTCCAGGTAGGCTCTAAGGTACTGAAGTCTGTACTTATCCTCATTCCACTTGCGCTGGGTGACCTGGGCCTGCGTTGTTTCTGCTACTGAGGTTCGCATTCCCAGGTCATAGCTGATGAAGTCTCCCCCGTCGTAACCAAACTGCATGTATCTTCTTGTGCAGCCATCTTCTCCAAGTTGACAGCCGTACATGAACTGGAGAGTGTGAGACCCTGAAACATATCCAGGCCCTGGGTCACAGCCCCAGGGCGCAGGTGCTGCCGAGCGTTCCAGGCTGGGCTGGGGCAGCGCCGACCCCATGGGGGGTCAGAATTGGGACAGCTCGGGGGCTCTATTCATGCAGAACAAGGCTGAGGGGACATAACTGTGGCCCATGCGCACGCTGGGAATTCAGGATCCCAGGGCTGGGATGGAGGGTGGGAATGGCCCCTGGAAAGGAAAGGAAAGGGCAAGGATGGCAGAGGAAGGGGCAGGTGAAACTGGCTGGAACAAGTCCAGGCTGGAAAGCAGAGCAGTACTTCTCTGTACGGGAGCAGTGCGGCGCTGGGCAGCCTCCCCACAAGGTAGCAAAACCAATGGGAGTCAAGCCCGAGCCATGGATGCTGAAACTGTCTGGAGCAAAGACTGGACTCTGAGGCCCGAGGTACCTCCAGGGCTGTGCCCTGTTCAGCCTAACCCCTGCCTGCACCAAGGAGGGGGTCCATTCCTCAATTCCCATTTTGGCCTCCACCTCCCTTTCTCCCACCTTCCCTCTCCCACTTCCTCCTCTTGCCCCTTTCTCCACCCCCCCCCCCCCCCCCAACACCCCCTCTCATCACCAATACCCTCCCTGCTTTCTCAGCCCCAACGCCCACACCAGATCCTCCAGGGACCAGCATCCCCTTCGCTGCCCTCCTGATCCACCCCAGGGCCCCTCCAACCAGCTTCTTCTATGTCCCTGTCCCGGAGTGGCTGGGTCCCTCCTGTTTCTCAGAGGTTCTTCTTTGTCCTCTCAGCACAGGCACAAGGCTGCTCTGGCCGAGCCCTGGCACCTGCCTCCGGGACTCTGCCAAGGCACAGACAAGACCAAGATCCCCCCAGGGCCCCACCCCTGGGGCAGGCTGGGTGGCCTATGCCCTCCTCCCTACCAGGCTGCAGTGGAGTGCAGCACCCAGGGGCTCTCAGCAGGAGTGGACCCAGTCCTGCAGAGGCCCAGGGCAGGGATCAGCAAGCATGGTGGGAAGGGCACTGGGCTGGGCAGAGGTGCAGGTAGGAGCCCCAGGAATGGAAGCTGCCACTCTTGCCCTTGCTGACGGCACCGGTCACACAAGCTCCTTGTGCCACAGCCCAGGAGATCCAGCTGCGCAGGGCTGGTGACACAGACCCCTGCGGCCACCTGTCCTGGGCACCGCAGGCCTGCATGGCCCCTGCCCTCTCACACGTGTCCTCCCTCCATAGCCCTGCCCACCCCTTCCCCTGGTCCTTCCCACCCCATTAACCCCTGCATGCAGGACTTGGAGCCCCTCAGCCTGGTTCAGAGGGGCTGTCTGGGCTGGGGCCACCGAGGGGCCTGGAGCCTCTCCTGCAGCATGGGGGTTGCAGAGCTCTTCTCACCCTGGTGCCCACTTATGCTGCGACAGGGACAGGCTGGTATGCAGAGGCCTGGGGGACCGACTGGCATGTGCGCACGTACATATGCACATGGCTGCCAGGCAGCCTGGAGAGCAGCTCCTACAGGTAAAGGTGGGGGGTGGGGGCAGTGGCACCAGCAAGGCCAGGGGGCTGTGGGGGACCTTTCATTTTAATAGTGGATTTTGGCGTTTTTATCAGAGAATTTGAAATTTTTCATCAGGGAAAATCAGAATCCCTGTTGAAGACTGAGCAGGATCCCTAGTCCCCGCCCCAAGCAACTGCAGAGAGGAGCTGGCTGAAGAGACACAGACCTGACACGAGACAATGCAACATCCTCCCGGCTCCCCACCCCGTGCTGCTCATGGGCGGGTATCTTCCCCACACCCTTATCAGTCCCCCTCAGTCCCAGGGTCCCCCACGGCCTCCTGCTCACACCTGCCTGCTCACACTCACCACTGGTCTGCTTGTAGTGATGCTGCAGGGCGAGCAGGTTCCATTTAAATACCTCCTGCCGGCCCTGCAATGTCCTGGTTTCCCTGTTCCAGGAGTCCAAGCCGACGGCCCCCTGCACCCAGTTACCACGTGGCTCCTGTCTCTGTGTCTCACTGTTGTAATGGAGAATTTGCTGGTCGCCCATGTAACCCACGGCAGTGAAGTCAAGCATGTCCGGGCCAGGATCTGACACCCCCATATAGAAATACCAGTAAGACTGGGAGCCTGTGGGAGAGTGACAGGGGTCAGCACTAATGGGTGAGACACCAGAACCCTGAGTGATCACCAGGGATCCTGGTTTTCCGTTTCCCACGGAAAAACAGAGAAAAACACAGATTTCCATTTTTTATCAGAGAAAACACGGATTTCTCCTTTTGGTAGAGAAACCCATGGATTCCCCGCTTCTGCAAACAGCTCTTCAGCCTGCTCTTGAGATCCAGCCTGCAACAGCTGTTTGCAAACAGGGCAGGAAACCCCCTGCCCTGCCCAGAGCGGGAGCTGGCTCCATGCTGCTTCTGCTGCAGCTGCCTGCTGTTGGGGGCAGGCAGCTGGGGACCCCTTCCAGCAGAGCTGGGGGCCAGGGGCTGTCAGTGGGAGAGGGCAGAGCCGACTGGGTGCAGGGCAGGGACCAGGGAGGAGGGACAGGACTGATCCAGGGGGGCACAGACCAGCCTGGAGGGGCCACACACAGTGTCCCACAGCCTGGTCGTACTGCCCTGCACCCCCCACCCCAGGCACGGCCTCGCATGGCCCAGGCACTCGGCCCACCCTGCTCCTGGGGAGCCCCCGTGTGCCTGAGTCAGAGCCTGGGCCCTGTAGCAAGGCCTCGGTCCTGCTGCACGGTTGGGTCCTGGGGCTGGAGGGACCCTGCACAGCAGATGAGGGGCCGGCTGGATGAGCAGTTTCTTCTTGGCTTGCACCCACCCGCCCTCCCTGTCAGAGGCAGCGGGTCTCTCTCCTCACTGTAGCAATTTTAAGTTTGTTATTATGAATTAAGCTTGTTATTGTACTTTTATATCTTGCTATTGTATCTTTAGATAGCAAAACAAGTCTTCTTTTTTTTTTTAATGATACTAGGATGTATGGATGAATGAGTGTAGTGATTGGCAAAAGCAGGGTAAGGTATGTGTTAACAAACAAGTTACCAAATGGTGTGCGACGTTAAGAAGAGGCTGAAGAGGTAAATTCAAAATCTAAGCAAAGAAGATAAGCAGAAAAGACAAAACCAAAGCAAGGTTTGCAAAATATCTCGAGGCTAAAGACTCCCCCTCATGAGGGACACAGCCTGCATCAGTGATAATGGAAGCAAACAGAGAGATGTGCGAGCTTGACCACTCGCAAGAGCGGAAAATCACTAGAGTCTGAACAAAGAAGGACAGAGTCAAGAAAAGCAGAACCAGGCTGTGGCAGAGCACAGGGGGTGCCTGCCACTTTAAGGGCCTGGAGCTGGCAGGCGCCCGGG